TACATGCATTCTCAGTTTAAATGCAGCGATCCAAAACAGTGAATCCAATCACCATTCATGCAAAACTTTGCTTCAAGAATGAGCCACAATGCTGACTTGATCTAATCGCTAGCACACCCTGAACACATGTGAGTTAATGTATTCCTCTTATCGACAAGACATATCGGCATAATCTTTCATATCGGCAGATGCCGATATTTACATTTAAAGCCATTATCGGCTGATTCCGATATTGGTCCGATAATATCGTGCATCCCTAATAATTATTAAATAAATAATAGAATAAATACTACAGTACAAAACAATAAATGAAAGTTTTACATTATTACTTTATAATTTATTTACTATTAATTATTAAATTGAAATGTTTAATTGTTTATAATTTTACTAGTGGTCTCACATGTTTAAATGCATATATATGTGTCTGAGGTGATAATCATGACAATAACTCCCTAACTCAAGCAATGTTCTTCCCGCAGGGCTGGAAAGTACACTTATTTAAATATTTGTCAAAATTAAATGTCTGAAAAACAATTACAATGTCTGTTATTTACGTTAACTTAATTTTTGTTAACATACTCGTTTTCTATTTTAGATTGCATAGAGCCATCACAATTGAATCAAAACTCAACTTCACAACAGCTTGAAGAAAATAAACAAATGTAAATTCTCATTCCACCTGCATTCGCCATATGCCTCAGATAAACCTGTCCGGTGTGATTAGTGTAATGATGAGATCTGAATTCTCACGTCATACCCACAAAACATGGGAAATGAGTAAATGCATTGGTCACAAATATGGGAAATGAAACGGAGATAAATGATGAAATGACATCACCAGTAATGGCTGCTCTGTGTGGATGACGTTTGCGTGTTTCTTCTCCTCCAGCAGGGATCCTACGTTTGTTTCAATAGGATTTAATGCTTGTGTAGATGAGCTGGTTCACAGGTTTCCAGGATCTAATCGGGTTTTCATGAGGATGCATCAGATTCTAGCCGTCCCGTCTGGCGTAAGGATGGAAGCAGTCGCTGGGGTTACATCTTCCCTCTGGCCCCGGAGCACCTTTGGGACCCTGGAATCCTATTCCGGTTGAGCCTGTAGACAAATCAAGAACAGGTAGTAAATACCAGAATAAACTCAATTTTTCAAAACATGCTACTGAGGTGTTGCTATGCAGTTGCTGGTTTTCTGGTGATTTCTATGAGCAGTAATAATAGTGATAATGACGTTTGCCTTTGTAAACACTGTTATTTAAAGGCACTTTTACTGTAGAGTGATCACGACAAAATAGTGCAGTATATAAACACAATAAAACTTATTTTTATGGGCTTGTTACCCTTTAACTGCAGAGGATGAGAGAAAGAGGGAAATCAGAGCATACGCTGATAACAGTGTGCCGTGCAATTATAAAGAACCCCCAGTTAAAGTCTCTTTTGTATTTTTTCATTTGAAGAACAATAAGTGAGCACTTTGTACCTCTATAAAAGGGCCGTTCATTAAAGAACGCCGTAGTCATTAGTTTAGTTTGGTGCCATTATCTGCCTGTGCTTTTAAAAAGTAAAACATTAAAGCACCAATTTAAATAATTGCTTCTATCTGTGTGTTGCAGATTTCAAGAGTGTGAAAAGTGCAAAGAACGGCCATCACGGAAATGTATTTACAAGCCTTTCCGGACCCCAACAAAAACACAAAGCAAGGTTTTTTTTCTCTATTGTTCTACATGAGTTTGATCTAGCCTGTCAATCTAGCCTATACATGCTATTATATAACAGATAATGTACCTCTCACTCTTAAAAGCAATAACCAACAACAAGATCCTTAGTTTTTTTTAATTATCTCTACTCATTATGTGGTGTCACGGCTCATGTATTAAAGGAATATTCTGGGTTAAACGCATCTTAAGGTCCAATGGTAGTATCTGAGGCATGCTGTCCAAAAATAATTCAATTTACTCCTCATTTTGTAAAAACAAAGCTATTCTATGGAAACCTATAGGCAAAGACACCATGAAAAGTTTAGAGCAAAAATACAAAGGACTTCAAAAGGTTGGGGTTGACAAGATTTTTTAAAAATGTTTTTGAAATTCTCTTATGCTCACCAAGGCTGCATTTATTTACAAAAATACAATAAAAGCACTAATACTGTGAAATAGTATTACAATTTAAAATAGCTGTTTTTATCTGAATATATTATAAAATGTAATTTATTCTTGTGATGGCAAAGTTGAATTTTCAGCAGCCATTACTCTAGTCTTTAGTGTCACACAATCCTTCAGAAATCATTTTAATGTAATGATTAGAACTTAAGAACTTAAGAAACATGCCTTATTATTATCAATGTTGAAAACAGTTGTGCTGAATAATATTTTTTGTTAAAAACCATGATACTTCATATCAGGATTCTTTGATAAAGAGAAAGTTGAAAAGAACAATATTTATTTGAAGTACAAATCTTTTGTGACAATATAAAGGTCTTTCTGTCATTTTTTATCAATTTAATTAATTTGTTTTCAAAAATCAAACAACAACAACAAAAAAAACACCATATATAATCGAAATTATTTTCTGCGGTAAATAAAATACACGTCACAGATAGAAAGTCAACAAACTTTAAAATGTTCATCCAGAATTACCTGGTGGGCCAGTGGGGCCTGGAGCTCCTGGAAGTCCTAACCCCATTTGACCTCGTTCCCCTTTTTGCCCTCGATACCCTGCAGGGGTAAAACACACAAATACACAATGTCAGATATACAGAACATATATCATCCTTTATAAAATCTATGCAGGCAGGAGTGATTATGAGAAGGGAGAGAGTGTTGGTCATATAATGATTTTATTATAATTCTTTGTACTGTATTCCATTATTACCACCTTTTACTAACAGGCAGAATTTAGCATCACTACACTATTTAATTAGTACTTTGTTAAATGAATAATCACTGACATACTTTATCTTAACAGTTTCTAGATTCAGTTCATCTCAGACTTTGCATTTCCATAAAAGTGTGGCCTCCAGGTGGAAACGGTACATAAGGCCCTGTCCAAATCTGCTGTATTACACAACTAGTCTCAGATCCTTCAGAACTCAGACAGTTTTCTAAGCCCTTCAGGAGTAATGACAAATCCATCTATCAGAAACACGTTTTCAAAGTATTTAAGGAGCACCACAAATGCTGACAGTGCTGGACGGCATGTCACACGCAGCGGGCAGGCAAACCAACAAACAAAAACACATTAGCTGATGCTGATCTTTAAGTCTTGTTTTCACACACTCAGTAAGAAACCAATCTTTATAATGGCATGCAGAAAACTGCCTCCAGTCAAAATACACATGCATTAGTGATGCGTTTCCTCTGAGGCAGACCGAGTCTAGCCTGAAAGAGAAACACTGTAGCAGTTAATAAACAAGAAAATACCCAAGAGATGCCAAATAATGCAGTAATTGACAGTGTCACCAGTACCAGTTTTTGCATGTGCAACTTACACAAGCAAACTAACTAAAGTGTGTCCGGACACCTTCAGATGCATTCATCCAATGCAATGGCATTCCACGGACGGACGGACGGCACTCTACCTGCGGCATCACATCATGGCTTTCTGTGGCCGCTCACAATCACTGCATTACCACCCCTGCTTGAGGGGGAGTTCATACTGCACAGTTATAACAGGGGGGAAAAAAGCGGCAGGGGGAGCTGCAATACAATACTAGCAAATTGCAGCCTGCAGCAACATCTACAAACTGTCATCTTTCGAAGATCTTACATTTAAAATAATTTTTCATACTCAGGAAAAAAAAGACTAAACCTTGTGGAGGAAGAAAAATTAGAATGAAAACATGAAATATTACATAGAAATATATTTACATTAGGGCTGCACGATAAATCGCATGCGATATTTAACGCGCATCTTGTCAGAAAGCCGGTTCTGTAATCAGCGGTAAATCTCCATCACCTATTTACATTTAATTAATCTTAAAACGGATTCGCACTTCCATAAAATTTGCAGATTTGCTCATAGAAACCAGTAGCAAATAAAAAAAAAAAATCTTTAAAAATGTTGTATTGAGATTATCAAAATCCTGGTACATTTCTCTGCATAAAATGACATTTTTTGACATTCATATAATATTGCACACACGGCATAATAAGTATAATTGGGTATGTTCTTGGCATGCAGGAAAAAAGAGTTTAAAATATGAATTAGATACATTTTATTGAAACCAAGCATTTCATCACCCTAGAAGATTTAAATACAAAAAGTTGCAAAGGGATTCAAAAATGTTATCCCAAAAAACTTGCTACACAAAAGCATGGCTGATAACACTTCGTAAAATAGTTGCATAAGTAGTTTTAGATGTTATATGACTCAAACTGCATGAACCATATATATGTGGTTCATGAGCACAAGAAACATCAAACTTGATACAGTAAATCATTTAATTTTAAGAACACATTTTAAATAAAAATGAATAAGTAAAGCTAAACGGCACAAAAATCACAAAGCAAAAGCATTTAAATTCAAGAGCAGCATTTGGAAGCGTTTTCGAGCAAAACCACCTCTTTCGGGTCACAAGAGAGGATACAAGACGTATTAACGTTGCCAATTCTCATTTAGTTTAACTCGCAAGAAAACTGACCCCGAGTGGAATTAATGTGACTCAGATGTGTAAAGCGACCGAGATTGCAGAGATATTTTTCTTCATTTTAGCATATCACGTGAAAAAAAAGTGGTTAAATTGAGGATTCCGAAGGAGGACAGACTCCAGCAGAGGATGACTGAAAATAATGAGGAAATATTACCCGCAAACTTCATCATCAACATCTGACAAATTAAAACAACAAAAACTGCTGAATTTCTGACTACGCAGGAGTTTAAAATTCCTGTTTTTAATTTCCTCCTGACACCTCGCATTGTGGGGAAATGTTCCTCTCCAGCAATCTCCAAAGCACAGTCTACAGTAAAATGTGCCACACAACACAAATACACAGTAAAGTGATACAAAGTGGCTTTTCAGAGCTTCACCTGCTGTTAAAAATGCATCGACACAATCTGGATATCAATAATGCAATGTTCACAACATAACATATATGTATGTATACACACTCAAAGTATGTTTTCTTTGCAAGGACGTCACTTATTAGAGTTCAAATGTACACAACATAGTCTTATATCTTGAAAAACATCATAAGAACTCAGACAGAAGAAGCAGAACCGAACTGCTAGTCATTACTTATTAGAAATGCTAGAGGAGCAGTACGTTAGTTGCCAGTCTTTGATGAATGTTCAGAATTGCTTATTTTCTCACTCCCCTTCGTTTTTTTTTTGGGTCTGTCCAGGGCGATATTACATTCTCCTATTCTGGGTCGGTTCTTCATCCGTCTTCATATGTCCCGCCAGGCTCTCGGCACCATATGCTACTTTGTCATGCAGCTATCTGCTTTCTTTCTTGTCTGACGTAGCTAGCAAGATTCCTGTGAACGCCTTACACCCAATATCGCAATCAGCGGCCATTTTTGCATGACTTTTGTGAGGACCGTCTTGCTCATTTTCTAGTTTTCTGAGCTAGGTTACTTTGAACTTGAGGTTCAAAGCTTGACTTGGCCTAAAGAGCAAAATTACCTCAACCCACTCAGTTCAGTGTAATTCAATTAACAATCTGAGAAGCAACTGACGCAGTATATCTAACTAAAAATACATACACATAAACACTATTTTCCACCAAGAGAGAGATAGAAAAACTGGAATCCTTGAGAAGCAAGCAAAAAAACTTAATACTGGGGAAACAGATGAGTCATATAAATAATCACAGTCTTGTGCATCTGGGTTTTTGTGTGAGACGAGACCATCGTAGGAGCAGCGTAAAGAGGTCCGTAACATGTTTAGTCTTTTGGGTTTTGGCTCCTACCTTGGGGACCTGGAGATCCTGGCTCTCCGGGGGGTCCTGGGGAGCCATCATTACCAGGTAGCCCTGGAGGGCCTTGTCGACCCTGCGCGGCTAATATGGCTGCTGGTGTCTTCTGTAGCAAAGCGTAACTGTCTGAAAACCTCTCTGAAAAAAAAAGCAGAATTAAGAATGTGAATTACACTACTATTTTATATATTTCAATCTGTCCCTCAGTTTGCAAAAAAAAACAAAACAAATAGAATAATAAAAAAATGTAATAGAATGTCAGAACAGAGCTGTCAGTTAACAAAATTTTAATTGGTCCCTTAGTTTAATAAATAAAATAAAATAAAATAAAATATAGTTCTCATTTTCGGGGCCCTTTGGTAAGAGCTAATTTGCAATACTGTTAATGTTGACAACTGTTTTTTATCTATCTATCCATCCATCCATCCATCCATCCATCTATCTATTTGTCCGTCCGTCCATCCATTCACATTAAATTACAGTACATTAAATTAAATTAATGAAAAAATAATATAAAAAATTGTAAAAAGTTTAAGGTCATTTTTTTGTGGTAGTGGACAATAAAACACAAGCTGGTAACACATTAGAAGTCACTACACTTAATATTAAACTCTTCTTATTTTTGGAGTCCCCTGGTAAAGAGCTTATTTGCAATACACTTAGTGTTGATGATTGTCTTTTAAATGTCTTACAAAGTTCCTGTCACTTATACACAGACACACACAAAAAAAAGAAAATTCCTTATCTACCGGTGGAGACCACAACAAAACACCTCAGCAGCGGCAGATGATGTACCTTCAAATACACGCAATACTTCATTTCGGATGAATGTTTTAATTTCCTCCAAGGCAGCTGTATCACCCTGCAAGAAGAAACGAAAGGGAAAAAAGAAGGCAGAGAGGGAAAACAAACATCAGCATAACATGATTTGCAGATTAAAAAGTGCAGCTACAAAATGGCAGCAATTCATGTTTTATTCATGCTGAGAAATGTTGGAGCTCTCAGAGATAAAGGGATGGATGACACATAGTGGCGTAATCACCATCTCTCCTCAAAGCATCTTGCCGTTCATGATCACTGCTCTGCACAGGAGGTGGCCTGAATTTTGAAGAACATCTCATAGGAAAACAAACCGCTTCCTTCCAATCAAAAACATACCTTTCACAGTTCAAGGCCATTCTGTCAAATGCTCAGAGGCCCCTGCGACGCTCTGTGCCTCGGGCTGCAAGCGCAGCATCCTCACATCCCTCACCTGAACGCTTGTGGAGGGTTAAAAGGAAATGGGCTAATGCATATTCAGAGTGCGGAGATTCAGCGATCAGTCTAAAAGCCCTTTAACATGACTCGTGTCAGGGCCTTATCATACCTAATAACACAAGCGTCATTCGCCAATTTGACATCCACATGAAAAGCTTTGCAGACAGTGTCACGGAAGGGCGACTTTACAAGGTTGCTAGGTAGCAACACAGTGCAAAGTGTACAGAAAAAGTGAAAGCGAATGATTGCATGCATTTAAACTTGGAACAAAAAGTCCTAATAGTTGCTTTGAGATGGTCTTGGTGAGTCTAGCATCAGTTTCTGTTTGTAAACTATTAAAGTTGTTATTCACTGAGAAAAAAAACCCTGCACCGCTCATCTTGGCACTTTTTGAGGAAGCTGTGATGTTTGATTCATGAAATAAAAGGTACGTTTGAGTCAGATCTTTTCAGTGAATCAGTTCACAAAATAATTAATGATCATGACTCAAAATTTAGTCTGTTCCTCACAGAAAGTTGTCGTACACTACCTTTTAAAAGTTTGGTGTTGGTAAGATTTGTTAACATAAAAAAAAAAAAGAATACTCTTATACTCACCAAGGCTGCACTTATTTGTTCAAAAATACAGTAAAAATACACACACACACACACAGTATATATACAGTATATTGTATGTATATATATATATATTTTTTTCTTTTCTTGTCATGACAAAGCTGAATTTTCAGCATCATTACTCCAGTCTTCAGAGTCACACGATCCTTTAAAAATCATTCTTAATAGGCTGATTTAGTGCTAAAGAAACATTTATTTTTATTTTCAGTGTTGAAAACAATCATGCTGCTTTATATTTCCAGGATTCCTTGATGAACATAAAGTTAAAAAGAACAGCATTTATAAAAAAAAAAACACGTCTTTTGTAACATTATAAATGTCTTTACTGTTACTTTTGACCAATTTAATGCATCCTTGGTGAATAAAATGTTTAATTCATTTTTACTGACCCTAAACTCATGAATAGAAGCATATAATGATTATTTTTATGCGATTTTTATTGCACTTTTGTGTTCTTTTTGAAGCTTGACAACCCTAGTTCTCATTCACTTTCATTATATAAAAGAGCAACTAGGATATTATTCATAAATTCAGCTACTGTGTCCAACAGAAGAAAGTCTGTCATACTGGAACAACATGATTTCATTTTTGGGTGAAATATCCCTTTTAAACTCTATCAACTCAAAAATATCACTTTTTGTGTTCAAAAGAAAAAAGAAAGTCATAGTTTTAGGTTTGGAACAACCTGAGGGTTTGTAAATGATGACAGAAAGTTCATTTTTGACTGAGTGAACTGTCCCTTTAATGTTTGTAGTTCTGTCTGTGTGTGTGGTTTAGAGGCGGAGTTGCGTAGAGCTCCTGCCGTTACTATATCCTTCCACCCCCGTGACACACACAATACACTCCTAATGGTCCCCTCCTGAGTGACATGGCTGTGAGTTTGTTTGATTTGGAGCGAGGGCGTTGGATATAGGCCTCGCAGCAGGCGGCTCATTGCTGCAGACTGTGCTTTTCAGAGGCTGATGGGTTTGCGAACACGTGTGGGTAATTATTGTTATGCAGAGCTCCTAATTATTTATTCTGGAGTGTTCACGAGTGTGTTATGCACAACAAAGCAATCAATGACGGTTGCCCTCTGAATAGCGTGGGGCGACCTGCGGATATGGATTCGGGACGGGGGCCAGGAGGCTGGTGCAGATTTGGAGAAAGCCAGCAACTGGATCTTTACGGAGGTCAAAGATGTGCTCCACCTCCAGAGGAGTATGCAGTCACTGTAATCTGAAAAAGGGTTCACGCTGACAGTGATTTTATTGCTGGAGGTTATCGAGTGGCTGTACAGTTGATTGTAGTGGGTGTTCATGCTGCTGAAGGCCCTATACGGTTTATTTGATTGGCTGTGCTCCTGAAAATCTGATCTCAAATGGGCTGTACTGTTTGACACTGAATCCGTTTTCTTGACAAAAAATTTATGCTCATGTACTGCTGATGTTGCTTCAAATTGCTTCAACCGTCAACTCGCATTGCAAACCAATGATTGCCGGTTGCTTTATTGCTGTAAATCTCTGTTGGTGTGAACGCTCCTTAACCCTGTAAAGCCTGACACATGAATTTATGAAATAATATTCAGATAAATTGTAATTATTTTTTTAAACCAAACCATTGAAACTTTCAACAAATTATGTACAAATTTAATTTAAATAAATATACTTAAAAATAGGTTCTATGACATTTAATACACACAATATCAAGATTTTAAGAATGTATGAAATTATTAATATTACCAGTATTAATACTGCCTATATTAAGTTGCCAGTAAGATATTTCCGAGTCTATTATTCTCACCAAGGCTGCATTTATTTGATAAAAAAATACAGTAAAACAGCAATATTGTTAAATATGATCATAATTTAAAATAGCTGTTTTCTATTTTAATATATTAGAAAATGTAATTTATTCCTATGATGGCAAAGCTGAATTTTCAGCAGCCATTACTTCAGTTTTCAGTGTCACATGATCCTTCAGAAATCATAGAAGAAAAAATATCAATATGCTTATTTGGTGCTCAAGTAACATCATATTTTCTATATTGAAAATGATTGTGCTGCTTAAAACTCAAAAGAACAATTTAATTAGTACAAATATATGTTACAAAATATTTCTGTCACTTTTGATCATTTAATTTGTCCTTTTTGAAAGAAACTAACACTTTTACTTAGAAAAATACAACAAAAAAATCTTACTGACCCTAAACTTTTAAATGGTAGTGTATATATGTTGGTCTCAGTATTAGCAGGCCTGAAAAAAACCAATCCAACCTCAGATTTTTCTGTATGTGTGGTGAAGTCAAAATGGAAAGTCTTTTAGAACAGTGATTTAACAGATACTACATTCTCTCTCTATGGCTGGTATCTGTAGGATTATTTACATACCAACAGATTGACAGTCCCTGGTGTTGTTAAAGATCCAGGTGTGCCTGGTTCTCCTTTCTGTCCAGGCTGCCCCTGAAGACCAAAGCCCCCTCTTTCACCAGGTTTGCCTCTTTCTCCCTGTACTCCTCTCTCTCCTGGAATCCCTGTATCTCCCTGCAAAGGCAACACCAGAATATAAATAACAGAATCTAAACAACACAAGCTGACTATTGTGAGCTCCCGCAACTTCAATTGATAATAGCATCTGGCTGTATTACATTCAATGCACCATATAACTAATCAAAACTACTGCATGGAGATTACAGATTTGTAGTCATTAATAGAGCAACACATTTTATTATTATTATTATTTTTATTATTGATATGTTTAATGATATGCTTTCTTCTTTCTATTTCTCCTTTTATAGCTTTCTTGTCACAATTACAAAATGGTTTCTTTCATGCTGTTTACACAACAGTGACAGTGATTATCGCACTGACCCTTTTATAGTCCATCAAAACAAAATATGAAATCTCACCCGTTCTCCTTTAGTACCTCTGTCTCCAGGTCTGCCTGTGGCTCCCTGTGAAAATACATTCAAATATACATACAAAAAAGACAAAAATTAAAGAAATGAAGGAAAAAAAACATAAAAGTATATACATACCGCTCGTTGAAAAATCACGGTTTAAAAAAATATATACACACACACACACACACACACACCTATCTATCTATCTATACAAATAAAATGCAAGTTAACTAAAAATAAAACTAACAAAAACAATGTTATTTTACTGTTACTGTACTATTATAGTTTGTGTTAATATTTTGAATTCGATTTTATTTTTATATTTTCAGTTTTCACTTTAGTTTTAAAGTAGTAATTTTTTATGCATTTTATGTCGTTTTTATTATGTCTATATAGTTTTTTATCCAATTTTATTATGTGCTAGTTTTAGTTTATTTAGTTTGAGTTATTTCAGTACTTCAATATAAGCAAAAAAAAGATGCCTTGGCAACAAGCTGAAATTAAATACAATGACATTTCCAAAATAAGTTATGTTTTTAAAATATTTTATTTTTTATTTCAGTTAACATTTATTTTAAGTAAAGTAATTGTTTAAATGAGGTTTAGTTTTAGTTTAACCATAATAACTCTGAATTGAAACAAATCTGAAATAATATAATATATAAAGCAACATAAGGAATTGAATTACTAAATTAGATTAAATTAGTAAAAACTAAAAATGAATAAATAAATAAATGAAAATTAGGAATTAAGACAGTTAAAATTAGAAATATTACCATGTCAGATAACAAATAAAATTAGTGCTAAAATTACTAAAACTGTAGTTAACTTCAGAGATTTATTTCAACTCTAAATTGAAATAAATCTGAAATAATATCATATAAATGTAAATAATATAATATAAAACAACTTATGAAATTGAATTCCTAAATTAGATTAAAATACTAAAAAAATATAAAAATGAAAATGAGAAAGAATGTTAAAATTAGAAATGTCACCATGTCAGATAGCAAATAAAATGAGTACTAAAATTACTAAAACTATAGTTAACTATAATAACTCTAAATTGAAATAAAGCTGAAATAATAACATAAAACAAAAGAAGAAATTGAATTACTAAATTAGATTAAATTACTAAAAAAAAAAAAAAAAAAAAAAAAAAAAAAAAAAAATGAAAATTAGAAATTAGAATGTTAAAATTAGAAATGTTACTATGTCAGATTACAAATAAAATAACTAAAACTAAAAAATAAATTGAAGCTTATGAAAAGAAAAGCAAAAAAACAACAACAAAATTACTAAAAGTAATATTCAAATTAAATGTGAATATCCAAAAAATCTATTTCAAAATATTATTAAATACTATAACAGTATATAAATAATACTAAAATAACACTGGTCATAATGCTTCATTATTACTGCCAGATGTTGCAGTTATGACATTGACCAGCAGAGGCAAACCGGACCACGCTAATCAGCTAAACCTCAAAACCTTATCATACTCCTACACAAAATAGCTGACCTGGGTCTTAGCAAGATGTTTGATGAGCGAACTGACTTCTGACTCATCCTCTGCTCTTTCTCGCTGACCTCATTAAGATCTGCAGATGCATGCTGCATTTACAGTGTTTGTCTGTCTGTGACGGAGGCGAATATATGCGAGTTGTGTGTTGGCGGCTCTCTGATGTGTCTGCTCGCTGCTGAAAAGTGCAGAAGTGCGATTTGTCACAGTTCTGCCGTAGATATTTGTTCTGTTGTGACAAGGCATCAGAGAACGGAAATTTTTTTGTTTAACGTGACAAGGCTTTCGAAACTACAAACCCTGTTTGTAGGGGACATTTAATTAGTGATCGCATGCATTATTCATGATTTAATGGCTCATGGGCAGGATTTTATCCACACTGGAGAGCATTAGCAGTGAGTAAGCGGTCTTATTATTGAAAACTTTACAAGACTAATGACTGGTGTTGGGTTTTTATTTGCTTGGGAAAAAAAGAAATCGAGTGAGACAGAGATAAATGTAGACCAGCACGGATCCGAGTCTAACCGCTATCCACTACTCGCTGGCACAAGTTATTAGATGCTGCAGGTATTAAAGTAAAAGCATTAATTTTCTGCTAACATTATCATCTTAGACATACAGTACAGCTGAATCCAAAGCTCTGCCATGCATATACTGTACACACATACCGTATAGCCTGGAATTCCATCTTTTCCCGGCCTTCCCTGTGGAAGAGACAACATTCCCATAAATCTTTGCAATTTAAATAACTTTGCATTGCTTATAATATCCATACATAACTAGATGGTCCAATGTGCACAAATGTTTTGAGATGCTATTACAAATCTACTTTCATAATGTTCTTTTAGAAGTGAAAATGGAAGCAAGTTTTCACCTCAGAGTATTGAGTGATCAGTGTGGTGTATAAAGTACCTGAAAGCCATATCTCACCAGAAAATGACTTTGGTAGAAGTTGAAGTCACCGTTTAGAATATTACTTGAGTAGAAGTCTTAAAGTATGTGATATTTATTGTACTTAAGTACGAAAAGTATTTTTTAAATCTTAAACGTACTTAAGAATTGAAAGTAAAAGTACAAGTAAATGCAAATTGGAAAAGAAGCAAATAAATATATATAAAAAAAATGCTCATACACAGCTTGAGTAGCAAGATTGTGTTCAGCTTTAACTCTTTCTTCCATTTTGTATTTTTGGGTAAGAATAAGAAGCACTTCATCCGGTATTTAGTGTCTTTCATTCCAACACAAGAAAACATTTCAAGAATCTGCATCTAAAATAGCATTTAGATGTATTTACACAGTTTATAGAATGCCTGGAATTTTGAGTTTTAATAGACTAATAAATCAACATGCGTGCACTCAGTGTGTGATTTGGTGATATACTCGATAATGTCAGATCGCACATCATTACAACAACACTTACCATATTATCGCAGAAGATATACTGTATATCACACGCCCCAGACTCGACTTGAGTGGAGCATGAATCATCCGCAGTTGTGCGCACACTTGTTTGCACATGAGCAAAGGTGTTTTTAGGAGTCTAACTTGCAGACGGTAGACCACTGATTCGTCAAACCTGCTTTCCTGCAGTCTGTGTTCTTCTGACTTCTGACTATTTTGTAGTAAGTAACGAATATGCTTCGGGGAAATGTATCGGAGTAAAAGTATACATTTTAATTAGGAAATGTAGTGGAGTAAACGTAAAAGTTGGCTGAAATATAAAAACTCAAGTAAAGTACAGATACTCCCCAAAAATACTTAAGTACTGTAACGAAGTATTATTACTTCGTTACAGTACACCACTGTGAGTGATATAGAGCTGAAGTTGAGAGAAAAAGTTGTAATTCTGAAAAATACTTTCAATTTTGAAAAATAAAGTTGCAAATATCTATCTATCTATCTATCTATCTATCATCCAACCATCATCTATCCATTTATCATCTATCATCCATCCATCTATCCTATCATCATTCCATCCATCCATCCTCCAACCATCATCTATCTATCTATCTATCTATCTATCTATCATCCATCCATCTATCCTATCATCCATCCATCCATCCATCCTCTATCTATCTATCTATCTATCTATCTATCTATCCAACCATCATCCATCCATCTATCCTATATCATCATTCTATCCATCCATCCATCATCTATTTATTATATATCTATCCGTCCATCTGTCCATCCATCCATTCATGCATTTTAAAGTGTGTCTAAAGTATCCACGCACTTCTTGGTGCTACTCTTCGTCACATTACACAAGTAAAATGTGTTGCAAATACTGTCAACTTTGATGTAGTTTAGTTTGTACTTGTAGTTAGTTTAGCACACATTGTTCCACTAAGGTTAAGTGCGAACAATTAGGACTCAAGCTACATAAACTAGGAATAAATCGTAAAATATCACCTGGAAGAAACAGGAATTCCTCAGGGGAATTCTGTGTATTCAGCGGAGGTGCTGAAGGCATTACGGCTGTGCGAATAACGAAGCAATTATAGGAGACCCGTACAGCCACTGTACTCCTTCACTGAGACAGCCAATCAAACGTTTACCCCAGTGACTGCACTCATTACCACAGCACAAACCAGCCAGGTTTAACGCCACAGTACAGAGAAGAATACGAGGAGATTACTCTGTGCTATGAAGTGAGATATTACAGCCGAAAACATTCGCTGTGATTTGAAGAGAACAATATCACAATATCACTGCTATATCACACTATATTTGTGTCAAACACAGCAATTCAGCCAATCTAAACCTCTATATTTCCAGTTGTGTAGTATATCTGATGCTTGTTTACAGTGATTTTTAGCATTCTGGGATCTCTAATTAGAAACAGCCCAGACTCTGAATCAAACTACAGGCCAGTCACTAGAAATCAAGAACTGAGGAAAAACAGAATGTTTGTGCCAGAACTCTGAATTCACAGCGAGTCAAACTGTGAATCAATCAGCAGACTAATCAGTTAATTAAATCTGGTCTGCAATTCAAGGATGGATCAAATGTTGGATCAATCTGTTATAAGATCACAGAGCTGAAAACAGAAGACAGAAACTAATGAGAACTAAATGTTATTATACAGGGTGTAGATCACAGACAGGTGCAGCATAAATGGTAGATTACAGGTAGATCCAGGGACCCTCGGGGCCACAAAGGGGACCACAGAAG